TATCCAAACACTACACAATCACACAATCCTTACAACCAAACATTATTAGAAAATAATTTTTTGGATTTGTTTTTTAAAAACAAAAAATAAAAAAGTTTACTAGTAATATTCACCTATTCTTATAATTACCTTAAACCTATAAAATTCAATTCATATTTGCAATCTTTTATTTTGTATATTTGAGTCATAAACCGTATTTTTAAAAATTATGATAGTAAATAAATACATTTTATTAGTAAGTGATATATATTGACTAAAAAAATCAATTATTTCACGGGTGGGATGCATTTCTATACAAAAAGTTACAAAATTCATATATATAAACGAGTTTTCGATTCTGTATAATAATTTTTTCAATAACTATAAATTATATTTTTAACTAAAGCTATATTAATTTTACTCGCGTATCACATTATCCAGCGTATAACGCGGGTCACTATCTAGTAGTAACTAAAAACACGATTAAAGAGTTCTAAAAAAAAATTACCACGAATAATTGAAACTGTTTTATTAAAATGCATACTATTATATATTTTATAATAAAAAATTTTACTTTAAATACATAGGTAGAAACACGGTAAATGGTAATTTATACTAACTTTTTCTGAAATAAATGTTAAATTTATTCACATGAAAATGTTAGATAGGCTAAATGCTAATTACTATATTTTGATTTATGTAGTGTTACATACTAAATTATAGATGAAAAAACTAATATACGACATAATTTTTTTTTATACAAAATTTTTCTGAAATAAATGTTAAATGTATTCAAATAAAAAAAAACATTTTTTCAAATTTTCTTACAGTTTTGATAAAGAAACTTGAATATAGATTTGAAAGTTTGGAAAAATAATAATTAAACCCATAGAGGTTGAGTTTTTTCATTAGCTTGTTGTGGATATGGTTTTTGGGTTGTAAACTTGTAAACCATCGACGCATGCCATTCTTATACCTATTGTCCCCTAACAAATGGATGGAGCTAATTCGGTTTTTCACTGTATCAACAAGCTTGATGATATGATTGGTTGGCTTCGGATCTTCACCGTGACACCGACTATTCCACTCTCTCCATATGTGGTATAGACTATAGAGTGGTTTGGAAAACGTACCGTACTAAGAAGAGTGTGATACTGTCAAGTGTCAACTGCTGTGTCTTCAGCTATGAGATGGATCAGCTTTTTCCAAACGGTGGTGTACTTTGTCACCTAACAATCCAAGAGTGAGATGTCGCCAAATCTCATCGAAAAAACATGTGATAAATTTATCTCAATTAATTAGTATATTTTAAAATTTTGAACATAAACCTAATGTATAAAATATTAATTACCAAAGATATACATTCTCACATTAATCACTGGAAATATTTTTTTTGACAAAACGACCGGAAGTAGATAAAATGTCTATAAAAAGACCTTGTCACTCGGTCGGTGTTAAATTCAGTGGACAGATTTCTTGCGTTTGTCCAGGAAATATCTTAGAATGCTAAAAAGGTTAATTAGGCAAAAGTAGAAATATCTTAGAATGCTAAAAAGGTTTAAAGTTCATGTTTAAGTCCATCACAATTTGTTAGATATTATATCATATCATCAAATCTATTTTTCTCCGATTATGTCTTCACTTCTTTGTTCTGAAATTATAAACGGCCCATCTGTGTAAAACAAATGGGTCAGTTGTCTTATTTCTCTTGTCTTTCCGCAGACTCGAGATACTGAACATGCCTCTTTTTTTCTCGGATGGGGGAATCAAATGGCCACTAGGCAAGTGACCA